GGCAGTCCTGTTTAACAAGGTCTTAGGCCTGCTTTGCAAATGGTGCCACGATAGCAAATGGTGCCAACTTTATCCTTTTATGAGAGAAACATCGATTGGTTGCCTCTTGTACATTCCCTGACTGGGGATTGAATTGCATTATTTTTTTAAAAAGTTTAAGTTTTTAGAGGGAGTGGAGGCAGGAAGAAAAGAGGGGGAGAAACATCAATCAGTTGCTTTTGTTGGCTCCCTGGCCAGGGACTGAACTGAACTGAGCTAGCAACCCAGGATGTACCTTGACTGGGAATCAAGCCAGTCCTTTTGCTTTGCAGGACAGACAATGTCCAACCAACCAAGCTGCATCAGTCAGGGCTAGATCATTTCTGACTGTACTCAAAGGTGGACTCTCATCTATTGGCAACCTGTTCCTGGCGTTTTTCTTTGGCTTCCTTCACTTTCTCAGCCTAGAGTTTAGTATATTCTCCTGCCTCCTCCTTATTTTTCTTAGTACCCTATTTCTTTAAAGCAGTTCACTGACATTTGTATTGGAGGATGTGTGCAGTAACGAGATACTGAATCTTGGGTGCTTTGTTCCTGTGTTTCATCCCTTCTTTGTTTAGGGGCTCTCTCACAACATATTGGTGGATATAATCAGTCTTTAGAGATTGAAAAGTTTTTGGGTTCTGCTAGTTCTTTTGGACTCCAATGGATGAATCACAGTAATATCAGTGAGATCAGAAATATCTTCCTCCCCTTTTTTACAATGGCCCAGTTGAGAACACTGAGATCGGTCTCCATAGTGCAGCCCTGAATAATTTTGTGCTTTCTTCAGTCCTCTTTGGTCTGTAACAGGAATCCCCCTTACTCAGCAGCAGGAGAACAGGGTCAGGGCAAGCTGCCCTGCTTCCTGGGGAGACCTTGTTTGTTTTTCCCACTACTGATTTGAATGACATAACCCTTCCATTCTTTACCCAGAGCATCAGCAGCAGCTTCTGCGGTCATACACATCTCAAAATGGAACAAAGTTTGTGTTAATTTCCACTTCAATGAGTTTTTGGCAACCATTGGCTGGGAAAGAGATGTTCAATCTCTTTGAGATTCATCCTGAAGCAACTGGCCGCCTCTGAGGAGCCCTGAAAAGAGTTACAAAGCTTTTAATTTTTGCCAGTCTAATAGGTGAAAATGGTGCTTGTTCTGATTTACACCACTTTTAAAATTCTGAGTGAAATACAACATTGAAAAAACTTTTTCATGGACCTGTATATTGCTTTTTCTGTGAACCATTTGTTTATTTCTTTTATCAAAGAGTTTTTATTTTTCATGTTAATTTCTTTCTAGGTCTTTATAGAATGAAGAAATCAACTTTTATCTATTATGTGTGTTGTGAATATTTCTCCCTAATTTGTCCTTTGTCCTTTGACTTTATTTTGGGTAGTTTTTTGCCATACGGAATATAAAAACATTTTATGTAGTCAAGTTATCCAACTTCTCCTGAATGGCTTCTGTGTTTTATGTCATGCTTAGAAAGATCTCCCCCAACTTAACATACTAAAAAAACACACACTCTAAAAATAAATAAATAAAATCTTTAAAAAATACACTTAGTTTTATTAAAATTTTTCTACTGATGGAAATTATCCAATTCCCATGTGTTTTGGGTGTCTTTATTCTGTTTAATTTATTGTTTATTATTTAGTAACAATCTCATTTATTGTATTTTTTTTGAAATGTAATTTTTTTCTTTTTTTAATTTTAATTGTTGTTCAAGTAGTTTTCTGTCTTTTACTCCCATTCCAGCCCACCCCCTACTGTAGTTTTTTTAGAATTAGATTTTATTTATTTATTTTTAGAGAGAAGGTAAGGGAAGGAGAAAGAGAGGGAGAGAAACATCAGTGTGTGGTTGCCTCTCACCTGATCCCCACTGGGGACCTGGCCCATAACCCAGGTATGTGCCCTGACTGGGAATCGAACCAGCAACCCTTTGTTTCACACGCCTACACTAAATCCACTGAGCTATACCAGCCAGGGCGCATTTACTGTAGTTTTATAATATGCTTTAATAACCTGTAGGGTGTTTTCTCTCTTATTTTTCAGAATTTTACTGGTGGATCTCATATTTTCTTTTTCAAGAAGAATTTTAGTAACCTTTAATCATGTTAAAAAGAAACTGTAGCTTGTTAATTGGGATTATGTATATATATTTTAGGGAATATTGACACCTTACGCTATTGAGCCTTTCTCTCCAAATAAAGGTATGTTTTTTAAAAATTTATTCAAATTAAATTTTTTTAATTGACTGATTTTAGAAAGAGAGAGAAACATTGATTTCTTGTTCCACTTACTTATGCTCACTGGTTGATTTTTTCAGATTTGTTTATGCCCTGGCTGGTACGGCTCAGTAGATTGCGTGCCCCACCTGCGAAGCAAGAGGTCAGTGGTTCGATTCCCAGTCGGGGCACATGCCTGGGTTGCCAGCCAGGTCCCCAGTAGGGGGTGTGCAAGAGGCAACCATATATTGATTTTCTCTTACTCTCTTTCTCCCTTCCCTTCTAAAAATAAATAAATTAAATCTTTAAAAAAAGATTGACTTACTTATTTTTTTAAAGATTTTATTTATTTATCTTTAGAGGGGAAGGGAAGGAGAGAGGGAGAGAAATATCAATGTGTGGTTGCCTCTTGCACGTCCCCTGCTGGGAACTGGCCTGCAACCCAGGCACGTGCCATGACTGGGAATCGAACCATGATCCTTTGATTCACAGGCCCATGCTCAGTCCACTGAACAACACCAGCCAGGGCTTTATTTACTTATTTTTAAAGAGAGGGAAAAGGGGGGTGAGAGAAACATTGATCCATTGACTCTCGTGCACCCCCATCCAGGGTCTTGGCCCACAATCCCGACATGTGCTGTGACTGGGAATCCAGCTGGTGACCTTTTGGTTTGTGGGACAACGTCCAACCCACTGAGCCACACCAGTCAGAGCTCGTTGGTTGACTCTTCTATGTGTCCTAACTGGGGATCAAACCTGCAACCCCTGGGCTATTGAGACGACACTCCAACCAACTGAGCTATTCTGCCAGGGCTCCAGTTTTCTTTTATATTAAATACATTGTCTGAGACCCAATTTCCAGTATAGTGGGGCTCACCTCATTTACATAACAAAAGACACCTCATCACTCTTCAACACTTAGGAAATTCCAAAGGTGTTGGGAGTTGTGAGTTTGGCACTGTGGAGGATGACCACATACATATGAGAGTTATATTTTGCTTGGTCATTTGAATGACTAAATATATATTTTTTGTAAATCACAATATCATATATATCCTTCAGTTGAGTTTTCTTCACAAAAGCTAGATAGATTTCTATATTTATGCTAAGTGCTTTATTTTCTTTTTTTACTATTTTAAATGTGATCTTTTTAGTATAGTTTTTAACTGATTAATATTTATATACATAAAAGTGCTTTTTGAATATTAATATTATAATTAAATACTTTATCCTTTTAATAGTTTTGTGTGTGTGTGTGTGGAGAAATACAGAATAGTGGATAAGGGCATAAACTCTAAGTCAAACAATCTAGGTTCAAATGTAGATTCTGGCATGCCGTCCCTGGTTAGTTACTTAATCTTTCAGAGCCTTAATTTTTCATCTGTGAAATGGACTCATAGTAATGTTTGTTGTTGGATTGGTCTTGCATTTATTCAGCCAGTACTCTGTGCTGTCTCGGTGCTGCCCCAGGTTTTCGGTGACAGTGGTGAGCAGGCACCTGCCGTGTGCCAGGCAGTCCCCCAGGCCTTGGCATCACAGCCGTGAACCAGGCGGATGAGGTCCCTGTGCTCATGGAGCCTTTCATTCCAGTAGATTATGAAGATTAAATGAAGTCAAAGAGTGTAATGTGTTTAGCATAATGCTTGGAACAGTCAGCACTGTAAAGTGCTTACACTTGTTGGAATGATAGCCATTATGATTCTTTTTTTTTCTAGGTACACAATGATATAATTGCTGATATAGTAAGAGGTGCATTTTTCTCTTCTTTCCTAAAACTTATTATATTTTTTATTTCTTTCTCTTGACTAACTGTGTTTTCTCTTCTTCCCCATATAGTGTTACACTGGGCAACTCAGTCTTCCACGGGCATTACTTATAGTATTATACACAATTAGGAATGATTGTGGCTTTTTGAAAACTCTTGTGTAGCTCTTCTATGGATTAGTTTTGTGCTGTCTATAGATTTGGCAAGTCTTCTCTGCCTTCATCCAAATGTTGATGTTTAGCATGGAAGGGCCGGAGGCACCCTTTTCTGGTTTGACATGGGTGCACTGTTTAATAGTCCATGTTTTGGTTGTGCTTGTTTATCTGGCAACAAATCTTTTGATCATGATGGTCCAGCTTACGTGTAGTGTCCTTTGATGTCACAGGCCTGTCATGAGGGACTTTCTCAAGGGTCCCCTAGAAAAACAAATACCTTGTGTCTTTGCCATTCCCCTGGTCTACCAGGCTAGTGACTGAAATGGAAAAACGAGAAGACATCAGGTTTGTGCAAATGAGCAGCCAAGTGTTGTGAACTTCTCCAGCTTTCTGAAGCAGGAGGGTGGCCCAGGAAGGCTCTGAGGGTGGTCAGAGTAGGTCCGCGTCTACAAGGGCTCCCTGGAGGTCCTTGGACAAATCCCAGGGCTGGTGCTGTAGTGTGCTGGCACCCACCTGCACCTACAGGTGAGGGCCCACTGTGTGCATCTCCTCCCAGCTCTGCATTCAGTGACGTTTGTGGTTCATAATCTGCTGTGGTGGGAGTGTTTATACTCCAGCGAGCGCTATGAATCGCATTCTCCACTTCCCTGTCCTGCTGCCCCTTGGGGCTGGGCACCACGGCAGCTCTGTCTTGGGGCTGCAGCCTCCTCCTGAAGGTGTGGGGCAGGTCCTCACAGTCCCTGAGGGAAGGGAATGACAATTAGCAGTTCTTCCCTCTCCTGGTCTCCAGAACCCTCGTTTCTAACCCCGCCCTTCCCTTTGGTGTCTCCTCAGGATGTGGGCTCCTTGGATGACAAGATGAAGAGCTTGGATGTGAATCAGGACTCAGAGTTCAAGTTCAACGAGTACTGGAGGCTGATTGGGGAGTTGGCCAAGGAGATCAGGAAAGAGAAGGCCCTGGAGATCCAGAAGAAGTAAAACCTGCTGGCCAGGACGGGGCACGCAGGGCAGGACCATGCAGAACCCATTCCCCCAAATAAAACCTCCTGCTTAAAACATGAATGTTTCTTATTCACACCTACCCTGATTTCGTCTCTTGAGACAAAGGGGTGGGAAAGCTCTGCCTTGACTTGAGAGTGGGTTTAAAAAATATGAGCTCCTTGAGGATAAGAAATGTTATTCATCTTTGAGTGTTATGCAGCATCCGACACTTAGATCTTGTGCTTGGGGTAGGTTGCTCAATAAATAAACGGTTGGTGAATGAATGTATGAAAGACAGAGATCTCCTAGAGCAGCAGGTGAAGTGACACATATCCTACCATGTGCCTCCTAGGGCTCAGGGGCATGGGCTTGGCTCCCATCTTTCTTATTCCTAGGGTTTGTGTCGTTGAATGATAATGAAAGCAGGGAACATGTGTTGAAGGCTTGCTATTTCCTGCATTATCTTAGTTAATACTCACAGCCCTTTGAAGTAGAGTCTATTTTTTAAAGATTTTTATTATTATTATTATTATTATTTATTTATCTTTAGAGGGGAAGGGAAGGAGAGAGGGGGAGAAATATCAATGTGTGGTTGCCTCTCATGTGTCCCCTGCTGGGAACTGGCCTGCAACCTAGGCATGTGCCCTGACTGGGAATCGAACCGAGATACTTTGGTTTGCAGGCCCGCACTCAATCCACTGAGCTACACCAGCCAGGGCTAAAGGGTTTTTTAGTGGTGTTAATATGCTAAGGAAGGAATTTCTGTAAGGGCAGGTAAGCTAGCATAATGATGCTAGTTCTTAGGAATGTTTCAATTTTCAGTCTGTTTTCTTGTTATCTCTGCAAACAGGTGTTTGGATTACAATGCTTTAGGCCCATTCCAAAGGTTATTTGTCCAGTTTCAACATTCCAAAGTTTTGAAGAGTGATATAAACAAGGTAGTTCCTCTGAGGTGGCACCTTGAACTCAGTTTTTTAATTTTATTTTTATTTTTTAAATATTTTATGTATTTATTTTTAGAGAGAGGGGAAGGGGAGGAGAGAGGGAGACATCAATGTGTGGTTTCCTCTCGAGTGCCCCCTACTGGGGACTTGGTCTAAAACCCAGGCATGTGCCCTGACTGGGAAGCAAAACTTCGACCCTTTCGTTTGCAGGCCTGTGCTCAATCCACCAGTCAGGGCTGGATTTCACTTTAAAGTGGCTCCTTTATAAATAAATATAAAATTTTTATAATAGAAATAATTTAAAAAATAAAAATAAAATGGATCTTTTATTATTTTTTTTCATCAGGTATGCTCTCTGAGCTCAGGGTTTAGGAAAGGAACCCAGGAACTTTGACTCTGGGCCACACCCCATTCTTGGCCTGACCCCCTGCCCTTCTCCCTTCCTCCTTCCCATCAGGTGAGGAGAGCTGAGTCCCTGGATCTGCTCCCTGAGATGACATCCTCTGTACTGGAGTGTGTGTTTGTGGGTATGTGGTTGCTGTGGAGTGGCTGGGTTAGGCAAGGCTTGGGGCTCTGAGAGAGGGAGGAGCAGGCAGCCCAACCAGTTTGGAGAGGTCATTAGTTGCCAGATAAATCATCTGGGCCTTGCATATGTGCACGCTGGTTGAGGGGAGCTGAAGGGAAGTCAGGACGGCACCCAGTCTGGCCCCTCTACCAGGCCCCTCTCTGGCTCCTTCCTGATCCAGTCCTCATTCATCTCTCTGCCATCTAGACTGAGGAAGGCTGGGCTATGTGATCTGGGCAGGCCTGAGTGTCACTGACGACAGTGGTCCAGGTGAGGGGTGTGTGTGTGGCATCAAAGTACAGAGGGGTCCCTGACAACTTCTCTCAACCCACATGTCCCTCATGTCCTCTGCACCACAAACCCTGCCTTGATTCGCATCTACTTCTCCCGGTTCTTAACTCAGGGTCCCTCCATTTCCTTGCCCCACAATTCCTCCAGCCAGGCCTTTCCTCCCCAGGTCGACCCTACAGTGTTGCCACACCTTCCCCCTTCCCTTCCCTTCCCTACCTTTCCTCCCCTATCTTTTCTCGGGACTCTGCCTCCTGGTCTGGGGCCAGGGACACCTCAGACCTGGACTCCCATGGCTCCCTCCTCTTGGCAGGGATGGCAGCAGGCTCTGGAGCTCTGGCCAATGGAGGGCGGGGCCCACACAGCTGGCTCACCACCCAAGCAGCCGAAATAGCAGGGGCGGCTTAGGGATGAGGCCCAGCCCCTGTCTCCCCTCCCTTCCCCCAGGTATAAGAGCTGAGCTCAGGTGAGCTGGCTCATCCTGTCCTGTCTCAGAGGCTGCCAGCAGGTAAGGCTACCTAGGGCTTTTCATCCAAAATGGGCTTCCCCCTGTCCAAAGGGCATGATCAGCTTCTCCTGCCCTAGACTATCAGGGAAAGGGTTGGAGGGCGGGCACTGGAGGCTGGTGTGTGTGCATGGAACTGAATGGGTATTTGGAGGAGGAGAAAGGAATGAAGCTAAGGTGAGGCCCAAGGGATTCTCTCTAAATGGGTTGGCTCGGGGGTGGTGACCTTAGCTCCTGGAGCCTGGGGTTCAGGTTATCTGGGGTGGAGCCAAAGGGGCTAGTTGAAAAAGAAATCCTGGGATCTGACCTCTCCTTGACCACCCTACTCCTCTAGGCAGATCATGAGCCACCAGCTCCTCCAGGGCAGGCAATAGGACGACGCAACTCTCACCAAAGGACCAAGCACACCAGGCACCATGGGACAGTGTCGGTCAGCCAATGCCGAGGTGGGCCCATTCATTCCTGGCCTGTCTTTCTATTCTCACACTCTCCCCTGAGGGTCTGTGTTCCCCCATGGACTTCTCCCTCACCTTGGTCTTGGCCTACCCTTCAGACTCTGCCTATAAGACCAGACCCCCCTTTCTGGGGCCCACACAAGGTGATGCAGATGGAGGCTTCCCAGGAGGAGGATGCCTGGGCCATGTGCTGAGACCTGCCCTGCCTGGGGAGGAGGGGCTGGGGTGCTGGGAAGAAAGCCTTGTCCAACCTGTAGCTCAGGGCAGAGGCCGGTAGGGGTGAAGGGGGCTGGATGCTGGGCTCTGGAGTGGGAGGGAGCCTGTGTGCCTTCCAGCTGTCTTCTGCCCTGTTGGCCTGGCTAGGTTCCTGGGGAAAGCAGGGTGTGGTAGGCTGGGGTGGAGACTCCCTGATGTGGGTGATGTCCCTTGCCCTCAGGATGCCCAGGAACTGAGTGATGTGGAAAGGGCCATTGAGACCCTCATCAAGAACTTCCACCAGTACTCGGTGGAGGGTGGAAAGGAGACGCTGACCCCCTCTGAACTACATGACCTGGTGACCCAGCAGCTGCCTCACCTCATGCCGGTACTGAGGGGGTGACCCCACACCAGGCCGAACACTGATTTCCCAAGCAAGTGCTTCAAGGCCCCACCCACACAGCCACAGCCCCTGGCACTAGCAACCCTTAGCCCTTCCCCCTTGCCAGTGCCAGGTAGGCTCAGGCCCTGCTTCCAGCCCCTGGGCAGGGCGGGGTGGGAAGATTGGAAAGTGCTGCCTCCCTGAGCTGTGGTGTCTTTCCTCCCTTCAGAGCAACTGTGGACTGGAAGAGAGAATCGCCAACCTGGGCAGCTGTAATGACTCTAAACTCAAGTTTGGGAGTTTCTGGGAGCTGATTGGAGAAGCAGCCAAGAGCGTGAAGCTGGGGAGCCCTGTCCCAGGGAGCTGAAAACCTTACCCTGGGATTCATGGGGGGATGTTGGGGAAGGGGGAGCTTAGAGACTGGGCACAGAAATAAAACTCCTGTCTTTACCATTACCACACTGTTCCCCAGCTTGCACCTGTCTCACCTCTGCAAGGTTCAGGTTCATTATAGTCCATCCTGGGGGTCTCTGCACTTCATCCCTGGGACCTCCATGGAGCTGATGGGTCCAGGAAGGGTACAGAAATCCCCACCAGAGGGAGGCTCATGGGTCAGGTTGGGACCAGGGATGGGTGTGGAGGGGTAAGGATGGTGTAAGGGCCACCCTTTGGGTAGTGGGTGCAAGGCAGAGAGGAGCTGGGTTATGGGAAATGACTTGAAAGGGGCTGAAAATAGTGCTGGATATTTTGTATTAAAAATGGTCTCTAAGAACCTACCCCTCCTAATCTCTCCCCAGCCCAAATTAGCTGTCTGTCCAATGCTATCTCTTCCTGCCTCCAGCTCTGCCCCAGTCTCCTCCCAGGACTGTCCTGGGGCTAGGGCAGGGGAAGTGGGAGAGCAGGGTGGGGGACAGGCTAAGGAGAGTGTGACCCTCGGAGTGAGAGGACCAGCTGGGTGCTTGGGCGTTTAAAGAGTGATGGTTATTTTGTATTGTTTGATTAATAAAAAATGAAAAAAGTGAAAGATGTCTTGACTGGACACCCTCCCTCCAGGCCTACTGGGCAAGCCATGGGTGAGGGGTGGTCGGAGTGTGGGGCAGAGTCTTTGGGTGGGTGGTACCTGTGGCGCTGCTGCAGTTGTCAGTGAAGTGAATGCAGACCCACTTCACTTCATGCATTTGGGCCCAAAAGGTGGGCAGCCTGGTTCTCTGTGAGGGACAAGCTCCTCTTTGCCAGTGGGCCGGCCCTCTGATTGGAGGGGAAGGCATGAGCACACACTTGGGATTAGGAACCTAGGTGTGCTGGAGCCTGGCTGATGAGCAAGGGAAATGTGAGGCTGGTAGCCTGGGCGTGAACCTTTGGAAAGGTGGGTGTGCTCTCAGTATCAGTTTCCTCACCTCTAAAATGGGGATATTAACAGTTCTTCCCTCATGGGATGGTTAGGCGGCTAACTCAAGATATCATGTCCTTAGCAAAGAGCCTGACACAGTGGGTGCCTGGTGAGCTTAAGTCACAGCTGTGGAGTTGACGTTGGGTCCCCTCTGGTTTCAGCTCTGCCTCCCCATGCGGATGTGGAACTGGCCAGTTTCCTTGCTTAGACTGGGGAAGAGCTAGAGGGTGTTTCCAGAGGAATCCTCTGCTGCACTTGAGAGATCCGGAGATGGTCAGGACAGCTCCTGGTAGGCTGACCTGGAGCTGGAAGCCCTGGGGGGGAGAGGGACCTGTGTCTGGTCGCTGGTGTCTGCCTTCTGACTTGAACACACAAAAATCAAGCATAATCCCTGAAATCCCAAGAGCAAGGAAATTTCTGTGGCTAGCCAAACTGGTTTGTAATGCTAACTGAACTTGTCTGTTTGGGGACCCTGAAACTGAGCTCCCAGTGACCCAGGTGAGAAGGGCAGGTGACAGTCCTTCCCTTCCTTTTTCCGCCCGGTAAATTCCGTCAGGCCCTGCGGGTCTAGGAGGGTGGGGTTGGGGGAGTGCCAGCTTCCACCACTCCTTCTGGGGTGGGGGCGGAGGGGTGTTAATAAAGGTGTGTATCCCTTTAACAAGGGCCCAATCCCAGGGCCAAGTGAAAGGGAGTTCAGTCACTACCTCCCCACCGAGCCAGCTCAGCCAGGCAGGGAAGGAGGGAGTAGGACACGTTCTGGGAGTGCGGCGGGGAGGAGTTCTGGCTGGGCTGAGCGAGGGTTGCTGCTTGGCCGTGCCAGAGCCCAGGCCCCAGAGCCCTGCTGGAGAGGAGGTGAACCCAGGAGGCAGGTGAGCACCCCAGGCCCGTCCTGGGAGGTCTGGGGCTACCAGAGAGGCCCCACAGGCTTGAGAGGCCAGGAGAAGGGGCAGTGAAGAGGTCCTGGGGAGGGGGGCCTGCCAGTGACTGGGCGGGGGAGGTTTCGTTCATGATTAACTTTCCCCAAAGGCTGGTTTGTGAATGGAGAATTCTGGTGGGATTGGGGACTGGAGAGGCCTTCAGAGGAGTGGAGGGGTGGCGAGACCCCTCGCCAGCCCAGAAGCTGTCTGGGCTCCTCTCCAGGGGCTGGGCCACTGGGCAGGGTGTTTGTGGAAGCTTTGCCCACAGCTGCTCTGATCCTTCCCTAACAGAAAAAGGGCAAATGCCTGCTGGTGGGTTTTGGAGGGTGCTCAGACCCTGGACACTGGCCTCTGGGAGCTGTGTTCTGGAAGAGGTGTTGGGGTCCAGGAAGAGCCAGGGAGGGTCCAGAAAGCCTGAGAATCTGAGGGGTGCTGAGGTGGCTTCTCTCCACCTCAGGACTCAGGAAGGTCCCTGGACGTAGATGCCATTGTGCTCTGCAGCGGTTCCTTGGGAGGGCAGACAGAACCTGGAGGAACCTGGGTGACATCCCAGGGGAGCTTGGGAGCTTCGGGAGAGGGGCCAGAAGCCTGGGCAGCTTCTCATTCACCTCAGGACCCAGGCAGGTTCTGGCTTGACTGGCTTTGTTTGGTGGAGCCACTTGTACTGCGCCGAGAGCATTCCCTTGCCCAGCCCTGTCTGGGTGGGGGTGAGGCTCCGTGGGGGCGAGGGCAGGGGTGCTGGGGGAGGAAACACTGGACATTCTGATGCATTGGGCTCAGCCTTTCTCCATCCACCAGGAAAGAGCTCTTTGGGTGTTGGAGAGGCCAGGGGCGGCAGTGGTGTGTGTGCCTGTGTGTGTCCACCAAAAACTCCTCCAACGTTACTGTTCTGGAAAAACATTCAGAGGAGCTGGCTTCTTTCTCTGGCTACATTCTCCAAAAACACAAGTGGGTAGAAAGTAGGTGGGTTACCCAAGCAGAGGGTATCAGGAATGGCAGAACCCTCACTTTGTGTATATGTATGTGTGAATTAAATGCAGTGAGTCCTGTGATGTGGGGGTGGGTGAGGCAGGGCGCTTGTGTGAGGTAGCAGCCTCTGGAACTGGGAAAAGACCGTGAGAACATGGAGCAGAAAGTAGGGATATCGAGGCTGAAGAGATTAGTGTGAAACAGCCTTGAAAATTGAGTAAAGCGTTACCACAGCACTTCAGGTTATACCTTCCCTGTATATTGAAGTGAATTAAGGAAATGCATGAGTGAGTGAGTGAGAATGAATGAATGAGTCAATAAATGAATGCATGAGTCAATGAATGAATAAGCAAATGAATAGTGAATAAATGAATGAAAAAATTTGAGGTAGATGGAAGGAACACAGAGCATGTCCGATTTAGGCTCGACAGTGGACTAGGCTGTACAAGGATGGTGACTAGGAGGGATAGGAGTCCAGGGACATATCCCAACAGTTGCAAACAGTTCAAGGCTCAAGAAGTGTTTGTGGAGGTGGGAGAGGAAGGTGAATTTTGGAGAGTATGTGGATGTTCAGGCTGCACATTAAGGGGACCAGAGAGATGAAGAGATGGGGGATGATTAGCAGGCACTTGGAGGGGTGGGGCCCAGAACTGGGGTTGGTGTGGGAGGGTGTGGCTGGAGTGGCTGAAACCCAGGAGCATGGTGTCGGGCAATTTGGGCTTTTGGAGAAGTCATCAAGTCATCAAGTTGAGCTCAGGTGAGCAGAGTGGGGACGGGGCCTCCTGATTGCTCAGTGATGAATCAGCCAAGGAGAAGACAATGAGAACATTTCTGGAGGGGCAAGGGCCCCAGGGGAGAGGACCCTTGGGGGAGACCACCGGTTCCCCGGTGGTCTCCCCATTTTTGGGAGGGCTTCAATGTCTACCGACTCTCAAGTCAATATAGAACAACACGCTGCCTACCCCCCACCTCGCCCCAGTCCTGTGCCTGGGACCATCCAGCCTGGTTGGTGGGAGGATGGGACAGGCAGGTGGGAGGAGCAGGTGGCTATGACATCAGTGTAGTGGCAGAGCCTGTCTCCTGGCCTCCAGGGGAGGGAGGAAGGGTGGAAGAGGGTAGAGTCATCCGACTATCTCACTCTGACATTCTTCCATCAGAGAGGCATTTACCCAGATGTATCTCCAGGAGCGTCTATTTGACTACAAGGTGCAGGGGTGGGGCTGACCATTGGGAGGCCTGGGCACTGCTGAAGCTACTACCTCTCTGGGGTGATCTGAACACCTGACAGCAGGCGGATGATTACCACCTAGGTGCTCACCTGGGTCCTGCCTACTTGGCTGCCAGAAGTTCAGTAGGGATTGGGGATTGGTAACAAGGAAGGGTGGGGGGTTCCTCTGGTCAGAGGAATAGGCTCCAAGAAGGCAGATGGTGGGTGGACTTTGGGAAAAGGAGCAAGACCTATCACCTCCAAAACAGATTTCTTTCCCTTTCCTCCTATTTCCCACTAAATTCCTCGTGCAGGCATCAAGGTCTGGGATGAGTAAGGGTGGGGGCGTTCTCTGAACTCTCTTGCCACTCACGAAGCTTGGTTGGGAGTAACCTGGGCACAGTCCTTGCTGAAATGTGTACAACTTTTAGAATCCTGCAGTGCTGGTTTCATACTTCATCCTTTTGGCCACAGACCAGGGGAGAGAAGGACAGGATTCCCAGTCAGAGATGATGAAGCCTGATCCCTCACCCTCTCAACTCTCTTTCCTTCCTGTATCTGGACTAGTCTCATTCTTCCGTCTGAAAAAAACATGACAAAAAACAAACAGTCTTAGAAGGGTGGTCAGGGGCTTTGCATACTTAATGTCAGGGCTGGAAGGAAGTAGGGCATTTATACACCATCTTCCTTGAGCAAAGCATTGGGCTGAGCAATACAGGCTACGCCAGATGCAGAGATTCAAAAAGCAGGGAAGTTGTCTATCCAGGATTTAAAAAAAATGGTCCCAAAGCCTCATCTTTCTGTGTGGTTCAGAAAACACAATGGCTGTGTGTCAGAAACACTTTCCTTGCTTCTAGTAATAGCTGGTGTCTGGGGAGACGAGACTCAGGAAAAGGCTGCAGCCACACCGGTTAGCGGCACTGGACCCTGCTGACTGAGTCTGTAAGGAGCCAGGGGAGGAAGAATGGCGGGG